AGAATATGCTAAGAAAGATAAAGCACATAGAGTAACATATTTAACATAAGCTCTATTTCAATGTATTGCTTTAGGTGTCAACTGTCAAGATCTGGAAAACTTGTGTAGTTAGTACATTTTAAGTATGAGAATCAGTGAAGTAATGAGGAGTTAGTTCTGTGTCAGAAAAGTTATTCAATTTTAGAAGTGAGAGCTACTGCATCCACTCTACTATTCAGTTGTTCAGTTGATTAGTTGTGGTATTCTACAGGTAAATCTATAAAAAATTTAAATTTAAAACTTTATGAATTTGATATTAGGCCTACCAAGTAAACATGACAGTAGTAAATTAGACTTTTAGAGAAAAAAAAATCGCCTTTAAAAGCTATCTACATAGAAGAAACTAGCTGAATGCTCTCTGAACATACATGAGCATCTTGATTAGCTGATCATTCTCTTCAGCACTTTAAAATACTTGCCTTATGTCATGCCCCTCTAACACAAAAAAAAGAACCACTATCAAAAAATAAATAATTTTTTATATTAGGTTATTTAAGTCCTTTGGGTGTGGTTCAACATTTCATAATTTGTTTAGTACCCTTCTTTAATAATCTTAAAATGTCTAATTATTTCTTTTTTGCTATGTAAATTTGTTGTTTTTTAATCACCAGCTCTATTGTATTGTTTTTACTATATTGTTTAATTCTCGTAGTTCTATCTCGCGTTACCTTCTGTTTGTGTACTGTTTCATTTCAAAATGTTCTTGTAGTTGTCATTAACCCACAGGCTTGTTTCTGGCTTGAAAAAGAGTGTTTGCTCAAAACGTCACCAAGTTAATAAATTATTACCATAGTTTTTAAAGGTGATATTTTTTCTCTAAAAAGTCTAATTTATTTTATTTTATCACCTTCACATTTTTCTACTTATTTACGACAGTAGTAAACACTATAATTAATAAATAATAATAATAAATAAATTAATTTATTTTCATTACGTGGACTGGAATTAGCATTATTTTTACCAAATAATCCAACAATAGAACATGTTACAACAATATATATAAATGTACCTTCTGTGAATAGAACATTAATTCAAGTACCCATCTTGATAATGTTTCCATCATCTTTTTCTTACTTTAAAGTGGCTGAACACTCAGAAACTACTTTAGGATTACATGTATAAAGATATTTCACCTTTACGCTCTTGTTGAAGTTCCAGATCTTCATGGAGGATAGCTTGCAGACAGAAGAATCTATTTGTTCATCTATTGATGTGGGTACATTGAACTTAATTGTAACAGTTTCTCCTTCATGGAAATTACAACTCCACATATGACGTTCTTTGACAGTCTAAAGAAAATAAAATATCAAACATGTAGTGACAATTGTACTAAGATTAATTAAAAATCAAGAAAAAAGGACCCTTTGACTTCAGTTTTATGTTATCTTCAGACTTGACCAGTTTTCCTACCAAAAGACAATATAAGACTAAAGATGAATGTGTCAACACTAGTTACTCCAATATCAAGACTTTTGATAGTTTGTTCCATTTACTCTGGTTTTTTGTTCTCTAACTGATACACACAATATTGTGTTATTTTATTATTATCCATTTACTCTTTCATATCTAGTTTTCAAAATTAAAAATAACCACAGTGTTACACTTGTAACATTCAATGCACAGTTACAATTATTTGATATAACTCAGGGAAATTGTCATATTATACTGACAGACAAACCGACCCAATGAGAGTAAAACTGAAATGTCATGGAAAATAATTTAGTTTTTCGTTACAAACATGAGCAGTAAGTTTCTTTTAATAGCACACTAAACTCTCCAATTATTTCAGAATCTTACACATTGTTAGCTTAACCTGAAAACTTTAAACAAATGGAAGGTTTAATTGGTAGGTTGTATAAAACAATAACTATAAAACAAATTAAACTTTCAAATTCAATAATTTTATTTGCTACATAAGCCTGACAATAGCAGCTAGATGCCTAGAATTTCAAGTCAGTTATTATAAAAGCAGTTATAAACACTGTTATGCTTCTGTGTTCGTTTGTTAATTTTCCATAAAAATTCTTTCCAAACAAACTTTAGCGATACAAGTCCTTTCTTAAATAAAACTAGTTTATTCTTTCTTAATACA